GCCCGACACTGCTCCCCTCCACCCTTGTTTACAGCCATGGGTGGTTATTTAGGGTGCTGTACCCAAAGAGCAGTCCTGTATGTGCTGAAAGCAAAAGCTAAGGATCAAGATGCTCCCATAGGAGAGCCATCCTTGCTGCAGCAACTCCAAAGCAACCTGTGCAAGGAGGAATGAATGAATGCACCTGCAAGAAAAAGGCTGACACTCTCGGCTGTTGCCACTACACATGGTGAGTACCTGGACAATATCCCGGCTGGCATTTCTTTCAATGGAAAACCTGTCCTTGGCACCATCTCTCTGCATGAAACTTGTTGAAAATTTCTGTCCTCTCTTCCCTTGGCTCCTTGCACAGCAGATTTATGGCCTCATTTTCCTTTTACAAATAAAACCCTAAGCACAAATCCAAAGGATAAATAACACAGTGCAGACATGCCCATGGCAATATTCTCTGTATCACTGCTGCAAGTCTGAGAGGAAAAGTTAGTGAAGGCAAGATACCTAAGTGAGAAAACTACTCTCATGCTTTTGTGCCAGTTCTGGAGGCTGGGGAGCAATCCTCTTGTGCTTTTCCCCAAACATCCTGCTGCAGCTCAGGCAAACTTCAGGTGTCCTGTCTGCAAAAGGGGGCTAAAGCGCCCATCCTTCCTGGCAGAGTTTTTGTGAGGGAGGCATACCAACCCCACCAAAATGCTCAAGGCTTCTCCTTAAAAAGGACAGAATGGGCAGGTGTTCATAAATAAACCTGAGCATTTGCTCTGCACCAGGTAAGGGTGTTCATGGAAATGGTAGCAGTGTCACTGCCACTGCCCATTAACATCTCTGCTGTTCCAATTGTGTCCAGCCTGCCTGTGGCCTCAACTGATGTGGCTTGGGCAGGAAATGTTTAACCAGGGCACTGGGCAAGTGCCACAGAGGCACCAAACCTGCAGGGCTGAGTGGGGCTCCTTCCAGCTGACTTGGCAGCACTGCAATGGGCAGCTGCCGCCAGGACTGAACACCTCATGCTGGCATGGGTGGCTGTGGGGGAAGGAAGTTATTCCTCAGTTCTCAGGCTGAGCTAGTGGTTTACAACTCTGGGTCTTGAAATTATACCACAAGATGTATCTGCAACAGTATTGTTTTCATTCTGCCTTGATTTCAGCTGCAATTTTAAGAGGCTTTTTTTTAACTAAGCACAGGGGCAATAAACCTCAGTGTGCAGGACACGTGGGTCAGAGGTTAGGACTCAATTGTCATCAATAGAGACCCTGCCCCTGTGCCCCTGCTAGGCCACTCCATGGTGCTGCCACCCTCACAGAGAAGGGAGCTAATGGTGGGCTCAGGAATATTGTCTCCTGAAGGGTGGAGAACCCGGAAGGAGATGGGGGACCTGCCTCTCACTGTCTATACTTCACAGCTATGCAAACACTCAGAATAGCTCAGGCACATCTAGAAAAGAATTTTTTTGATCTGGGATTGGATTATTCTCTTTAGTCTTGAGTTTTTTGGTCCTCTTGTTTTTATTGTTTGGTTGGGTTTTCCCCCATGTTGAAGAGGAAGCTTCTACTGTACACCTGTAATGGTGACAAGAGCCAGAAGCCCTGCTCTGCCAGAGCCCTAGCTTACCTGGCACACTGTAGCTCCAGACAGATGTACTGATCCCAGCTGCAAGTCATGGGTGGCAGGGAAATCTATGGCCTGCCCTGGCTGGCTAAAATAGTCATGCAATGGCCAGCAGGCCTCATCTGGGGTAACTTTAGGCTCAGTCAATCTCACAAGTTGTTCATTTAAGTTCTGCCCTGCAGCCACATATGTTTCCAGATGTGCAATGCACTGGAAATTATGACCTGTCCTGATGGGCTCAATGCATGGAGATTTTGGACTGTTGTGTTGCATACACCCCGCGTGCTTTAATATAGGGATTGGCATGGGTCGAGTTACAGAGGCTTGAAGGGAGTGGTTAGTAAGGCAACTGAAAGCACCACTCAGAAAACAGCTTCAGCATGGTCTGCAATAAAAAAGAATCCCCAGACAGACCAAAGTGGAAGCGACCCAAGTGCCAGGAGTGGTTCAGTCACCATGTGTACTGAAATCTAATCTCCTTGCTGTGGCAGGCAATAAGCGGCCTGTGAAAACTATAACCTGATTTTTTCCATCATTAGCTATGACCTTGCTTCTGACTGCTTACTCCAGTCTCAAAGGATGGGACCCTTTCTGGAGGGAAGACCTGTGCCTTTGTTCCCTGAGAGGAAATTAGTCTGTAGCATTGCTATGCTTTGCTTAATATGTTTATGAAAGTGGAAATACTACCTGAATTCCTCTATAGACTCTGCAGGGAAATCATGTTTCCATATTGCATTATGAGAAATGCAGCGAAGGTGTGCTATGCTCAGTTAATATTTTTAATGTATGGAGGTAAAAGAAACTTCAGTTCAGAAGAGTATATGCTTCCCTCTTTCTGTTCAACATCCATGGTGCTATAAATACAAACTGCAGGGTACTTTCAGAACTGAGAGCCTTTAAGACTTCTCGAGGGAAAACATCACACCAAATTAATCTGCCGTCAAGTGGAAATTCTATATTGTTTGCATTTGCCAATGTTCTGTATGTGGCTGTAATTGCACTGAAGCAAATATCTGCTTCGAGTTCTTCACAAGATTAAATGTGGCCAATTGGGCGTAAAAGAGTAATTGAAATGCAGAGCTGCTGCTTTGGATTTGTTAGAGGCATTGCTCATTTTTGCTCTGACATGACGACACTAGGTTCTGACTTTCCATTAAAACAGGGAAATGTGGGGAATGTGATTTCAAGTGTCGGGTTGCAAGCTCAGAGGAGGATATTTGTCTGGCACTGTCCTGCCCTGCAGTGTGCCCGTGGGCAGCGTGCCCTGGGTGTGCTCCTTGCTCCATGCTCCATGAAGGGGACACCTTCCCCTCTCTGACCAGCAGAGAGGCTGTCGACAGCTGGGCCCCAGGGTGCAGCGTCTGCTTCAGAGCTTGAGCTGGCTCCTGAGGACTTCATGGTCCTTAGGTTCTGAGCATTTGCCACAGATTTGAAGCAAAAAGGACTTGTGAAGGTCCAGCAAAAGCCTCCGTGGCTTGTAGCAGAGGGAGCCTATGGTCTGAATTGGATCCTAACTAGTGTCACCATGTCTGACCAAAGGATCATGTCAGCTTGCAAAACCTGCAGTCTCACCCTAAGCCAGCTGGATGTGAAATGTTAAAGATTTGCTTAAAAGCCTTATGCTTTCCTTTTATTTTACTAGTTTAGTCATTTTCCCTCTTGCCAAATAAATGCAATTATAAGCAAGTAAGAAGTATTTTTTCAAGTCGACTGTGCTGACTTTTAATTCTATATGAAAACCCAGCTGCTCCCTGTGCCCTGCCCAACAGGTAGTTAAATAAACAGGCCCAGGTGAGCAAAACTGCCAGCTTGAATCCTTCTTTATTCCATTTTCTTTCCAATTAGCGTGCTTATGCAAAAAATATATGCCTGACAGTTCCTAAGAGTTTGCTCATGCTTGGCCTTTCCCCAGAGTTTCTCCATGCAGCTACAGAGCAGTCCTGACAGCATCCTTGCACTCTTCAGAGAGGGCAGCATCTCTTGGGCTGGTGCCAGGAGACAAAGCTGCTTCTTGGCACTAGCAGGCCTCTGCTCCTCTGCCTGAGCCCCTCCCTAACCGGAGGTCCAAGTCCCGAAGCTGCTGGAGGAAGCCGGAGTTGGGGCAGATGCCTCTGTGGGAGCGCACAGTCTGAATGGCGGCGGTGAGGGACAGGCCTTCACAGATCATTAGGAAAGCCAGGACCAGAGTTGCAGACCGACTGATTCCCATTGCACAGTGAACCAGAACTTTGCCTAGGAAAAGGAGAGAGAGTTGCAATTATGCCAGCAGGCCTCATGATGGAGGTTATTGCACTGGAGCGGCGATGGAAGCTGGTATTAGAGATGGGCAAGCGAGGTGTACAGCCCTGTAGAGCAGCCCTGGCACAGTTCCCCTGGTTGGGGAACATGGGGTTTTACTGGCTGGGGACAGAAAATTCCTAATTGTGTTCCAGGATCCATGGTTGCTTGTTTGAGCTTAGTTGTCAGCCTGACAGCACACCCTTATCCCTCCTGCCCAGCCTGCCATCCGTTGTGTCCCTGCTTGCTCATGTGTGGTTTTGGGAGTGATGTACTTGCTGGCAAAGTTTCATGAGTTCACGCTTGATGGCCGTGCTGTGGGAAGCAGCCTTGGCAGGTTACTTACTACTAGAGGGCCTGGAAACTTGGGATTTCAGAAGTGCAATGCTCAGGATTGCTCAGTGCTGTTACAGCGACACTCCTGGTTTGGAAATTCTTCTTTCTTCTTGCTTAGGGCAGAAATGCTTTCTGAGGGTGCTGACTGCTGCTCAGGCTTTTTTGCAAGCATGTGAAGAAAATAAGCATTATCATTAAGAACAGCTGTTTGTATATGGCATTTGCACCAGCACACTTATGCATCTTTATTTCTATAGCCTACCCCATACTAATCACTGTCCTTCCCTAATGCCTCTATTTCCCCCTGTTTATTAAGTGACCATAGGAAGACAGTGTATGAAATGTTTTTAGTTTTCCAGAGATTTCAGTACAAGGTGTGCATCTTCATTAGGAATTCATTAAGAGTAACATGATGAGTCCTTCCTCTGTTACTATAAGTGAGGTTGCTATAAGGAAGGTGTTCCTCAGGGAACACCTTCCAGAGATCCAGCAGGGTAACTCCATCCTTCCCCCTGCTCTGCTTTTGGTTTTCCTGTTGTGATCATGAATGGCAGCAGCCTAAGAAGCTCAATTCTGTACGGCAACTGCCTCCTAGGTTTCTAATGTGTGATCCATTGGAAGGAGATTAATATTTTTAAATGAATATTTTTAAATGGTCTTATTTGAAATTAAAGAAAGTTTTTTAATTAAAGGAAAATTTTGCCCTCAGATGGAAGAATTCAGGTTTGTGGTCCTTTCCCTCTAGATGTAAACAAAGAGCTCATTTCAAAACCTGAAAATTTGCATCCTGTAAATATTGTAAAATGCTTCAACTTTCATAAACATGGTAAGATAAATGAGAAATTTTTAACTGAGAGTGAAACTCAATTGCTGTATAACTGTTCTACTCAATTATAACCGTGCCTGAACATTTTCAAGTTCTCTTCTCCTTTGCTGCAATCAGGTCTATTTTTCTCACAGAGACTGTAACCCAGCAACTCAGCATTAGTAGAGTAACAAGTGATTAGAAGCAGATATTAACTTCTGACTACCAAATGGACAATCTCCCATTAAAGCAGCTGAAGAAAATGTCTTTTTAGCATGGAAACTTCTGAACATTTCTTCACTGGAATTCTTTACAAGTTTGAAATAAGGTATTTTCTACTTTTTTGATTTTTTTTTTTTTTAGACTGTCACATATGTGGTCTCTTGTTGATTCATTGTATAGCTGTACAAAATGCAATTTAGTGGCTGTACAGTTTATATCCAGAAAAGATGAAAAATCAGCGACGACAATCCCATGTTACTTTTTTCCTCTGGACATGGAATAGATTATCTCAGATGCTGCTTCTCTGCAAAATGTAAGGAGAGGTAGAAAGAACAGACAGCTTTTTATGGTGAGTTCCTTGTTTTGTTTGTGCTTACAGCATCTTAATCTCTCTATTACTAGGGAGCAAGACAAAAATATCCTTGTTGGATGATGAGCCTAGATCCAGACAAAACCCTCAGACTGATTGCCCCCATCACCCTAGGTGTTAATTCTGGGTACTTTGTGCACAGCTTTTAATCTTAAATCCCATTTTGTTTATGACACAGTATGTATTTAGCAACCATTCTAGTTCTGACTAATGATGATGGCACAGCCACATGCTCAGAGAGGGTGAGCATGTGTTGTGAAAAGCTGCTCTGGCCAGCAGGTTGAGAGAAGTGTTGAATTCCACAATGTATGTGACACAGCCACCTCTCATTATCCTGGCATGAGAAATCCGAGCACAGCTCTAAAGATAGACATGTCTTTGGTAGAAATAAAGGGACAAATATAGTCTCCAAGGAAGTGGCAAAAACAGCTCTGGTGACAGCAGACTTGGACCAGGCACCAAACCTTTGGGAGAAGGAAGAGGTTTTCCAATGCAAGGCCAGTTTGCAGAATTTCTACTTCTGTTTTCTCATCCAGATGCAGTTTCATAGAATTTACTGAGATATTGGTGCCCTTCTTCAAGTTAAATTGCTTATGTCTGTCAATTTCATTAACTTCATGTAAATTCTTGGAAGTAAAGTCCTGCTTTTTATGGGCATATGGAGAAATGTTTTGCACCCCTGCTAATAATAATGCTAGTTTGAACTTCCATCAGACTTCTTATTCTATGTGCTGCTCTTCCATTAGCCTTTCCACCAGCCGTGTAGGGTATGTATGCTGCATTATCTTCCCCAGAGGAGAGGCTTGGGATCCAAATAACCCTGGTCTGAGATTTTCAGAGGAGCATAAAGGAATCAGGAGGACAATTTCACTTTGAAGAATACTGCAAAAACGGCTAGGCCACAAGATTTTTGAAAAATCTTTACCTCAGTAGTTTGCTGGAGGCCTAAATGCAGTGTGTCGGCAGGAATGGGAAATCCAGATATTCACCCAAAATGTGCACCCCAAATAACAGAAGCCAAGAAACAAAATGTTCTGAAATTTTTCTCAGAATGACTCTTTTTCATTTGGTTGGGTTGTTTGGTTTTTTGAGGTTTTTTTTTGGTTGGTTTTTTTTGGGTTTTATTTGGGTTGTTTTTTGGTGGTTTTTTTTTGTCCTTATCTGAAAACTTCTAAGCTACCAGCACTCTTAAACTAAAACAAAAAGAATTTATGGCTTAATCTGCATTACAAGGGGAAAAAAAAGAGAAAAAAATACCAGAAAGAACTGGCCTTGATGTTAGATTTATTTTGCATCACTATATATTTTGAAATTAAATCTAAATTTGTGCATAAACTGGATGGGGGATGGGAGACTTGATGTTCTGAATCTAGTTTTTGTAAAATTGTTTGAGTCCTTCCCCCCTCACCTGTATGAAGTCTTCTGCCTTTGAAAATGTTCTGCCCCACTAGCAGTCTTGAACTGAAGACCAAACTGAGCACAGGTATAAATGCTGCTGTTAAATATTGCCTGTTGTGTTTTTGTTGGAGGCACAGAAAGCAGAACAAATGCCAGACTCCTGCTTGTACAGGCTGGCTCTCTATTGTTTTGTGTCCGTGTCTAAGAGAAGACTGTGTCCAAAAAGAATGCACTGAATTTTCTTCCCTGTTTCTCTGGCTTATCTGCACTTCAGAAGAGTTCTCTTCTATTAGCAAAGTGCTTTAGAAGGTATCTCAGCAAAAACCTGGACAAGCCCCAAGTAATGACCTTGGTCCTAATCTGCATGGTTGTCTAATCACCTGTTCCCATGAAGATTAGGTATATTATCTCTTTTACAAGTGCAATATGTATTCCAACGTTGTTAACCTCTGTGCATAGTGAAACAAGGGCTATGATAAATGCTGGTACATTGACAATAAAATGACTTGTTTGTTGCAGAAAAATCAGTCATGTGAAATGATTTAATTAATGTAAAATTGCTCTAATGAAAGCAGATTTGAATTTACTGTCTGATTATTTTTAGCAAACAAATTGAATGTTAAACTTGAGTAAGGAAACAAAAGCTGTGTTGCTATTTGGTTCTGTTTACAGGGTCAGACCCTCGTCTCTTAGCAGTGGCTGCAAACGGGTGAAGTGACACTCTGAACCCCTGGTGGCATCCTGCATGTGACCAGCGCCTGAGGCAGTCTGCTCCGTGGGCTGGCTGCGGTGGGTGATTCCAGCCCTTCCATCGTGGGCTGGCTGCAATGGTGTTTCCATCCGTTCCGTCGTGGGCTGGCTGCAGTGGTGATTCCAGCCATTCCCTCGTGGGCTGGCTGCAGTGGTGATTCCAGCCATTCCCTCGTGGGCTGGCTGCAGTGGTGATTCCAGCCGTTCCCTCATGGGCTGACTGTGGTGGGTGATTCCAGCCGTTCCCTCGTGGGCTGGCTGCAGTGGTGATTCCAGCTGTTCCATCCTGGGCTGGCTGTGGTGGGTGATTCCAGCCTTTCCATCAGCCCCACGCAGGAGGCAGCTGAGAGGTCCCAGCACTCAGGCTGGGATTGCTGGTGGCTGCTGGAGCACAGCCATGGGGAGCAGCCCTCACAGAGCTCCCTTGCCGTGTTGTAGGCAAGGAGGTTATAACCGCATCTCCCACACCACAGAATCCCTGCCATGAGCTGTCAGCTTCCAACTCTGTCTTCCCCACCCCCATCTGATTTAACATACAGTGCAAAAAGAAGTTGGACTGGTCCCACATTAGGGGACCATGTTGCAACCTCCTCTCTGAGCATGAAACAGGATCCCTTAGGAATAATGGGATTAACTGAGGAGAAGTAGGGGCACTTAGCTTCTGGCATTATTAAATCTTGCAATCCTTATTTGAAATTTTGCACCACACATCTCAAGCTACTTTTTGCAGAGGCAGACAATAACTGTCATCTGTCTGGGATTTGTGCAGAACAATAATACTTGGTTTTTAACAGCGGATTATGGATATTCTATCCAGCTCATGCCTGCTGTAACTCTACTAACATCAAAGGGTTTGCACTAGGGATAAAGTTTGCACATTCAACTTTGTTGGCCAAATTCAAGTTAGGAAATTCAATGTTGTTGAACAAGATCAGTCATTAAAACACATAATAACTTATTGTCCTTTTGCTAATCATCATTAAATGAGCTAAATGTCCTAAACTAGCCCTTGCTTTCTTGCAGGATGGATTCAATTTGGCTTAAGATGAGGCTCCAGATCTGTCACCCACAGTCAATGTCCCAGCTGCCTTCACTTCATTGGATCCAGCTGAAGTATTCTGCTCAGCAGGAGAGCTCAGCTGGGCTAATGGGCCCTAGAGGCTTGTTCTACTATTTTCTCATCTCCTGTTAGGTTTTAGCCAGGTGCAGAATCCACTGCCTATTTCCTGATTAATCCAGTATCTGTTTTGTCACAGCTGAAAATAGCAAGAAGCCTACAGAGAGCTTTAAATAGTGGCAAGTCAGAGCAGGTAAGAGCTGTCATCTGCTGCAGAGTGGGAGGTCAGTCTGATGTATGTAATGCACCTAGAGTGGAGGCAAGCAAGAAGACCCTTTTCTCCAAAGTTAAGCAGCTTTCGTAACTCCCACAACAAGAAGGCGACAGGAGAGGGAGCCTAGCTTTTCGTTTCCTCTACTGAAGTGGAGTAAGGGAAATGACTTTGAGAGTCTTCCATTTCAAGATTTTAATGGGTGGTTTTAACCTGATTGTTTTAAACATGTTCAGAGGTCAATAAAAGAAAAAGCTCTCTACTTGGGAATCTTCCTCTCAGCACAGTCTTAGTTTAATAGTTTTCATGACATGCTTTCATCAAGTTCTCTTTCCCTCCTCCTTCTGTCAGACTTCACAAAGCCCTGCTGATTTACTTCAGGTTTAGCTGCACTCCAGAGAAATGCAAATTGCACAGGTGGCCATTCAAAGGGTCAAGATTGATATTCAAGGTGTTGTCCTTTGAGGCTGACCACAAGGGAGAAGGCTAGTACTTTCCCAACTCCATGTTTTTCCTTGTAGGAAAGGGGACAGATTGTGCATTTGTTCGCTCTCGTCTGAGCCTTCCCAAACAGCTCTGTTACATGGCAAAGAAACTGCCAGGCTGTGCTGAAGGAAAGGCAGTCAAGGAAGTAGGGATCATAAAATAATGCTGATGTGGCATGGCTGCAATAGTAGTGCACATGTTGTCTAATTTCTGTAACAAAGACTATGAAGGAAGTCAGGGTGCAATGCAGCCACTGACCACTATGACAGGAACAGCTCCCAAGTAGGAGCAAGTCTCTGCTTCCTTTTGCTCACATTCTGACATCTCTGTTTTAAGAAACTGCCTTAAAAATGAACTCCTTACATCATCAAAGATAATATTCTGTCCAGCTAAGGTAGGAATCTGGAATAAATCTGTCTATGCTGTTTTCTGGACTTGTGGTGTAAAGCATCAGATTTCTTTTTCAAGCATGATGGAAATAACAGTTCTTATCTAATTCTAATGACTACTTGATTCTTAGGTTTAAATACATTTGTGCCTCAAACAGTCTTAACTTTGACTTGTCCTCTTAGGTAAAAAGGATAATATATTTATGTTAAAGAAAAAAATTGATGTTGAATTTGCTTGTAACAGTTAAGCAGCAGTCTTAAATGACTTCTCAACCAAGCAGTAGTACCTTGTTACATCCTGTATTTAATATGGACAGGCCTCTTGTCACCTGGTATATTTTGTTTTGTTGCTCAATTTCACTGCTTATAATAAACACCACTTTTTTTCTTCTTCTAAATGATGTGAATAACAATCCCCTCCCTGTCTCATCCCTGCACAGGTCATGGGTATTTAGCTGCTAAATTTCTGTACCTCAGAAAATTATGCGTCCAGAACATCTTGTTTATATATTTTCTAAACTGTTGCTCTTTCCTCAAAATGATGAATGTCAGCAACAGCTGGACAGTGTATGATTAAATTTCACCTTGTCTCCATTCCCAGAACTCTACTTCCATATGGAGTTCCGTAAAGCAATACTAAAAGCATGGGAGCAGGGATAAATATGCCTTGAGCTGTAACTTGTTCTGCATTCACAACTTAGTATTTCGGCATGCATTTTGCAAAGCACTAGTTTTGTTTGCTATTGTGGCTTCTACAATTCATCTACTGTTTTCAGTCTTTAGTCAATTGACTTGGAACTTTGCTTTTACACACATGAATAGATTTTGGATCTTACCTTTCTCTGGAGCACTGCCAATAATGACTTCAATTGCAAATAGCATATGCTGTAATAAAAATGGGTGAAAATCCAAATTCCCCCAATGCAGCCCTAAGTTGCACAAGGGCAAATATTTTTTAACAGAACAAGCCCTCCAAAGAGCAGGAAATGCACAGGTACCTAGCATGAAGGTACACTGTTTGCAGTTACTGTGCCTCCCCTTCGTGGCTAGTAGGGTGTGGATCAGATCTACCAATGCATACAATTAAGCTGGGTAATTAGTACTTTAGGAACCTGATTGAAATTAAAGCTCACCATGATGCAAGCAAACAGTTTTACTGAGTGTGCAACTGTTATTAAATCACTTACTTTTGAGTAGTATCTGTACAGTTTTATGGCACAGCGATGACTTGCTTTTGTGAAGGCTTGCCCTTAATAATAATGATCTCCCATTGGCCCCAAGCCTCTGGTGTTGCACCTGGCACGTATTTAGTGAATCTAAGGATTTAGTGGGTTGTGTTCCTATTTTCTAGCAAAAGCATGACATTATTCTAGGCTGGTGATGTTGCTTGCTCCCTTCTATAGAATTGCTTTCTAGTAAGTTCTTCCCTATTGTTTGTAGGATTTGCACAGATTGTAGCATTGTAGTTGAATTTTCATACTCAAATATTACACTTGCCCTTGTCTTTTTTTAAATCCCATCACTAATTTGAAAATATCAAATAATGTGCTTCTTCCCAGGGCAGGGTGTCACTGTAGGTAATGAAGGACACTTGCTGTTTTGTCTTTTGCTGACGAATAACACTAGGCATAGGGAGAACCCCTTTAAAAGCCTGTTTAGTGCTTTCAGTGAAACAGAACTACCAGTGGGAGTTGAGGAGGCAGGTAGGATGCTACTTTGTTTGGATATCTCCATTCTTACCCACATGCAGGTGAGTTGGTCTATGTTAAATAATATCTAATACCTTTCCCTGCTTATCTACTATGCAGAAAATATGCAACATGCACAGATGGTCTAGTTACCTCTTGGGGAATTCAGTGCTTCTCTGATGTAGTGAGCAACTGGATAGAAGTGAATGCTGAGATCAAAGTTGGGGTTGTCCTCTGCTTCTACTCCGTAGTAATGCACAGGCAAGTCGCTGTAGAAGTTGGGCCCGGTGTTGATGCGGAACCTCCCGGCAGCGGCGTTCACCACGTGGGAGATGCCCAGACGGCTCAGCTGCGCCTTGTCGCGAGCGACGTACCTGGAGGAAAGAAGGGGAATTAGATCTGCCTGCTGCATTGCAAAGCAGGGAAGAACGTGCTGCTGATGGGGGGTTTGTTACAACTGCAGGAAGTGGTAATGGCTATTTTATTGACAGGTTGATCAGGTTCAAAGTGTTCATCAGAATGCTTTAAGACAGAAATGACTTGTTAAGAAACTAACTCTTAGATTTCCCTCAGTTTTTTCCCAAACATATGTTTAGATGGTTCTCAGCTGATGAAAGGTGGTGGTGGAGATATTTCTGCACAAGCTAAGGGTTTTCTGATTTCAAAGACTTTCTCACCAAGTCACCTCTGCTGAGTATTCATCAGTTCAGAGGACTGGTGCCATCTGGCAAAGTGAGGAGGAGAAAAATGAGCTCGATCCTGTTTCACCCAGCTTTGGCATGACTGCCTGAAGTAGCAATGCCACAGCTCCAGTGGGCTGCTGCAGTGTGTCACTCCTGCACTAATGCAGGAGGAGAAACCAGGAGGCAGGAGATATTTAGTCAGCTGGGATGCATTTTCTCTATGCTACAGCATCCTCTGCATAGTTCAATCTTGTTCAACACTTAGATCTGTTGTGAGAGGTCCCAGATTACTGCCTAGCTCTCTGTTTTTAAATAAAGAGTGGAAGATTTGGGGGAAGAGTTGCAATAACCTTCAGCCCTTCCTGTCTCTTACAGGTCTCCCACATAAAGGTTTGGCCAGACTTCATCCACGTGCCCTGTGGGGTGTGTGCGTGTGCAGAGCAGGCGCCGCAGCTCCTCCAGGGACGGTGTCCCAGTGCTGCTCCCACTGCCGGGCATCCCGCTTGAGGCACTTCTTATCCTGGGCCGCCGTAAGTCCTGGCTGCACAAGGAGTCCCAGGCCATCCTGAAAGGTGAGAGAAGATATTCACCACCAGCCAGAGATATTTCTGACAGGTTCCTTTCTTCCTCCTACCTTGACAAAAAGTTGATTAAAACTTCATTATATTTTTAAAGATTATTTTCTTCATAGGAAACAGGGAAGTTCCTACTACTGTCTGGAATTCTAAATGCTATTATTATCACAGAGAAAAAGCCCAGCCCTTGATGTGCCAGCACAAGGCTTCTGCTTTCACATGGAAAGAGGTAATGCTATGGAAAATGTCTTGTTTAAATATATCTACTCAAAGGGTGTAGAAACAAAGAATTAACCTGGTATACTGAGATTTTCCTTTAACCAGGTAACTAGGGCTTTCTTATATACACTTAATCTGATTTGTCTTCTGATTTGCTCAACAAACTGATCTGGACTGAATAGAATTTGTCATGCAAAATCTTAATCACTGGTTAGCTATGAATTGTCAACTTCAATGGGGAAAACTGTGTAACAAGTAGTTTAGTTCTTTCCAATGGTATTTATTGGCCATACTGGTTGTCCTCATGAGAAATGCTCATGTTAGAAAAATGTAGATGAGTTACAGTGATTCCAGCTGAGCATTTATATGAGCATTGACTAATTTTTTTTAGTAAGTTGTTTTAATTTGCATTTCTTTCCTCTCTGCTCCCTCCAAGAGCTATCCCATTTCTAATCTTGAAGCAAGTACTTCAGTTACAAGGAGAAACACTTTTTTTAGGCATCATTTTATCTTTGGAATTACTCTGTTTCCATATGGTACATTTCTTTTGAAATAGTGGTTCCTCTACAGTATTAGCTGTAGATTTGAACTGTTGGGAGGATTTTTTAAGAGGGTAATAGAAATTACATTTTTCCCAGGGTTCTATTCTAAGAAAATATTATTCTTTTCTTGCATGCGCTAAAAATGACCCAAATATCTGTATTACAGAGATAGTAGGAAGTCTGTCAACTCATGAGCCTTAGAACAGAAACACCTGTCTAGGACATGGGTGAAGTTGTAGTAAGTGAGTCAAAGCCTTGCTCTGGCACTGTCTGAAGCATGTCTTGTATATAAATGATTTGAGGGGTGGTTTGGGGTAAAACAGTCCAGGACAGCAAACCTGAAATCTTGCATCTTTCTGCTGAACATATCTATTGTTAACAAATAGGTTGTATTTAAGTTCAAGCACCTTCATTGACCATTTCTTTTCAAACACCAACTGTGGTGAAATGTTCTCCTAGTTTCCCACCCAGATATTTTCTCTAGCCCTAAGTTCATATTTTGGTGTAATTTTATTTCACATGCACAAAGACCGAGCAAGAGGCTCTGAGGACTAGTCTGCTGTGGGAGCTCATTGCACCTTCATATAAATATGTGCCTTGCTGAAGGGCAAATGAAGCAACTAATTCCCTGAAATATCCATAGAAAAGAAGGAGGGAAGTGTCAGGCCACAGAATGGTCCCTACAAGTCACCCTTCTGCCATGCACATGGGGTGATCTGCCTTGCCACTCAGTTGCCAAGAGGAGCCCTCTGTCATTTCAGTACACCTTCTCCTGCCACCTCCATGGCAGCTCTGGCCTCTTGGGTACAGTAAGCTTTCACCAAATTATGTTCCCAGAATGGTCTTGCATTGTTACAAGAGCATTACCAAGAGCTCCACTGCGGAATGTGCTCCCCTCCCAAATGTGCATATCTCCTCCAGTGTCAGCTTTTACTGGGAAAACAAAAGCAGATGTTCTTGTCCATTTTGGATGGCTTTATGCAAGAGGGGGCATGGAGGAATTCCCTTCTGGAACAGGCATTTGCCATTGATTTTGATTGCTGCATTGACACTGGCCACCCCAGTGTCCCCTGTGCCAGCTCTGCCTGGCTCCTGCTGGTGATCTTGGACACCTCTCTGATCCCACACAGGAGATCTGCTGCAGAAATGGGGCTTGGATTTCCTGTGCTCTGATCACAGGGCCATCTGCCAGTTCATTAAGTATTTTCAAGAATAACAACTTTCTCCAATCCTTCCCACCTCATAATATCTGCAGCAAATGTTCCCCTTTTTTGATGTACCTAATTCCTTGCAGTGTGTCTAATGGCCACTCCAGGCCACTTCTCACTCCCTGTAAAGTTGCTTTAAACTGTTTTGGTTTTTTCTTATTCAGTACTGCCTGTTATCCTTCTCCCTTGCCCTCTCCACTGTATAAATACTTTGATTTTCCTATTACCTCAGAGGACTGAAGGCTGCTGTCAGCCTTGCTTTCCTAAGCCTCACAGGAGCTGGGCAGATAACTGTGACATATAGTGCACCTAAGGAAAAGGGCTCCTTCAAAGACTGTTTTGTTTTGTTTCTAAAAGGGGGCATAACTTATTTCATAACTTAAAACTCATTTTCATTCTGGTCACATTTTTTTAACTGGAGAATAGCATCAGTTTGTGTAAAGTCTACATCCAATAAAAAGGAAGGACTAGAGTTCAAATTTCAAATGTGAAATGACTGTAACTAACAGGCTGTGAATTATTCAAAATCAGAGAGGCCTCAGTAGGACTATTCAACTAATACGGTGAATATTGAATTCACTGAAAAAAGAATGGCTTTACATAGAAAATTTACAGACAGAAAACCATTTTTTTTTCTGAATAAATGAGTACTCAGTTCTGGCATCAGTCTATCATCTTAACTCACTAAATTTATACATGCAAGTGTCATTACTAAAATGACATGTTTAAGGAAAACAATGCTATGTAATGTGTAATGCTTTATAATGAACATGGATAGATTAAAAAAAAATTAGTGTGAAAGGAAAAAGGTTATTTGTAATAATGTGATGGCTGTTAATTTAAAAAATATGTTTTTAATGATTCTCAGCTCACTTCTATACTGACTTTTTGTAGTGGATCTGTTTCTAAGATGTGTGTTGTATGAACAGGCAATATAGTTTTAAAATGCTGGTTTCTGGATGATGATGCTGGATGACGATGACATGAGAATACAATTTTAAAATGCTGGTTTCTGGATGATGATGACATGAGACATTCCTGATCTTTCCTCTACTGGAGTTGTATTATGGTAATTATTCAATTACATAGGAGAAATTTTGCCATTATGTTTATATTAATTTTGAATTAGCAGGTACTGCAACTGTAATTGTATCTGTACTACGCAATAGAATTCCTTAATTACAACTAGCAGGAGGATTGCAACCAGAGGCCTATTGCAAGCAGGTCACTCTGATGATGCAGAGTGACCCAGAGTGTGACACAGGCTGTTTGTTCCACCATCCCTGCCTGGCCCTGTAGTCACCTCCCTGGACTGATGGGTGTTAGTGGCTTTGCTGCAGTTGGGTGATGAACCAGGTCAATGGTTCCTTATATATCAACTATCCCAGGAAGAAAGGAAAGTGGCCCTGTGAGAGGTCCCAGATAACATCTCCTTCCTGACTAGGATTCCCATCTGCCCAGTAGGGAATGCCCCTACGGACTGCATACACCTTTGGTTGGGTTTCAGTTAATTCACTGACTGCAGCTTTATCTGTAACAGAATTGGTGCTATTCAGTGCTATGCTGGGGAGAGGGCCTTTAGTCTTCAGGATCCTTTACAGGCATCTCAGTCTTTGGAAATATATGCCACCTTTTATCCAATTTCTCCAATTCCACGATATTTAATTAAACCACAAAATGAAAAGTCAGCGTAATTTGACAATTTAACATTACCTTGATACAAGATCAAATTGAGAGGATGGTATGAAGGCTGAGATGAAGCAGCAGAAAATCCAGCAGCATGATGCTGTGGTAAGTCAGGAGGAAAAAGCAACTCTTGTGTCTAGGATATTTAGTAGAAAGCCTTTACAACCTCTGCTTTAACTTGCATTTTCCAATGCCAAGATAAAGGAGGGATCTGTGTATACTAGAAAAATGTTAATGTACTCATTTCAATCAAGTGTCAAATATTTTAATCATCCCAGGGCCTACGTTGGCTTTTCTGTATGGGTAGAACTTAGCCATTTTTTTCTGACATTAGTAAAAATATTTGCAAGTCTTTAAATCCTGAGGACAAAGCAGCCTCCATCCTGCCTTTTCTCAAGCTGTTATGTGCTATAACCTTGCCGTCCCAGGGAAGATCTGAGTCTGGCTATACTTCGAATACACTGATTTGTGGTGGTAAAAGACCAGGCTGAAGCTCAGGGCTTGGCCAAGTAGGTCATGTCAAGTTCATGTCTATCATGTATTCAAAAGCCATAAACAGTTCTCAGAAAGCCTATTCCCTGAAAAGGTTCCTCCAAGCTAACCTATGTTTGAGAGAGGTTTTGTGTTGCTACATGGCCACACAAATGACAAGTATTACTGTCATCATTCTTTCTTCCTTAGCATTTAACCCAATAGTCTCACTGGAGTCATAATTTATCAATTGCTAGGAGCACTACAAGATATAGATGGTATGAATCAAACTGCAATGACTGAGGTAGGGCTGGCTGGACTTGAAAGCTGAGACAGAGGCAGTGTCTAGGGAGGCACAAGGTATTTGAGCAGCCAACTGTTTGTAACAAAATCTGGAGGATGTAATCATAACAGCAGCTGGAGGATGTAATCTGAACAGCACTTCCAAATTTAGTGGAGGCTTCCAGACCCATAAGTGTAACCCAGCTATGCATTTAGGGCAATGCACCCACTTGGTGGGATGAGGCAAAATCCATTAGGTGGACTTACTCTCCATAGCTCACACAGGGCCTATGCTGAGGAGCAGACTAAATTTTTCTTTACAGAAAGAAATTTAGTCTGGACAGCTTTGGGCAGCAGAAGGCAAAAACATTTGACTTTTCTTCCTCTCAGTACTGCATTAGTGAACATTTTCTGTCCTAACTTTAGAGGAATTATGATGCTTCCCCACTATCAAAGGAAAATTTTCTCTGTGTGCCATCCAGGGAAATCAGCAGCTACATTTTTGATACAAAGCACAACTTGAATGTAAGGAACAATTTAATCAACCCATCCTGATTCTCAAATATGTTGAATTTACCACTGTTTCCACTGATGTTATGGATTGCGAGGCCTCAAAAGCCTCAAAAATGTCTAATTTTTTCATAGCACGTCTGTGGGCCAGGCTGTAGTTCTCAAACCTAATAGTCTTGACTGTTTCAGGATGTACATTAGCATGCAGGCCCCAAGGCAGGGTGGCCTTGGAGTTGTTTTTTTCTTGTGACTGTAGTATAAAATATTCTCTTGTCATCAGCTGGTTAGTACATTTGTATTTACCAGCCATGTGTGCAGCTCCTGACAGTGGCTAGACAGACTGAGCCATCCTTTGATGTGCAGCAATGTTGTACCAAGTGTGCAAAACCTGGCCACCTGCTGATTTTGTTAACTCTTCTGGGTCTTGAAGGTATGTTTATTTTATTCTTTAGCCATGGGAAACCAACTCTGTAGAGTTATTGCCCCCCCAGCAGCTTTGAGTGGATAAGAGAAGTGAAAAATACGAGCAGCAAAATTAATTTCCTCTGACCCATCCTTTCCTCACAAAATGCAAAACCATGGATTGCTGTACCTGATCACATATATTTGTAATGTAAGTGAGACCCTAACCATGTTTATGAGTCAGGACAGAGGCGTGGACAGAATCTCTGCCAGACAGAGGAATGTACATGAAGTATGCTTTACAGAAACCATGGCTGATAGGTAGCACCACCACAAGGATTGCAGAGGTAAGAGGTAGTTTATCCACCCCAAGCTCTTCTGTGCCTTCTTCACCATTGAAGCTTGGGTATATTTTGTTTCTGAATTGGACTTTTTATTTACTAGTTACAAATTTTACATGCTCTTTAATGGTGTGCATTGTAACTATTTAAAGCTGAGCACTAAACAGGCCCAGACACTGTTAACAATCTGTATGTTACGATATATTCTTTTGTGTAACTGCTTGTTATAGCATCAGCTATTAAGAATTTATTACTGGTGCATTTTAGGTAGTGCTTTACAGTCATTTAATTACAGCCATCCAGCAATCATTACATAAACATGCATTGAGAGCAAGGACCCCAATGTTAGGTTACCCAAAAGGCTGTTACCTGCCAAGAGCAGAGCTTGGGCCCTCAGGTGGCAATGATGTCATTGCATATTCAGGGAAACAGAGAGTTTAAGGCTGTACAGGGAGTTGTGTTGCTCCCAGCACTAGGTGTTCATGAAGTCATCAGCTGGAGCAAGAGCACTGTAGAGCTCTAAGGACCTGAACTTGGCTATTGGCAAGCAAGAGCAAATAAAGCGAAGTTGGTTCCCTTCCAGCCCTAGGCCCAGCAAAGATGTGACTTTTGGCTGTGAGCGCAGTTCAGCTGCAAGACCAGGCCCTCTGGAGCCCATTGGTACCTCTGCTCTCAGCTGCCAACTGCATCCTTACCCCGTTAACCCAACCTGATCTGGCAGACCAGCAGACACACTTCATATGACCCAAAGACAGCAGCTGGTCCAAAATGCATCTCCCACATCTCCATGCTATTTATGACTGCAGCACCATGCCCACATTTGAGAGTCTCTATAGCTCCCAGCCAGGCTACTGCTCCTACTCATATATTTTTGCTGGTGTCTTCTCCTGCAATGGACTTCAGCCATCAGACTTCACTGTCAGTTCTGACAGTCTCTAACTCCTTACTCCATTCAATACTGACATTTTTCACTACTTCTTAAGAAAACAGAAATCCCAATCTATAGCATTATAGCACTAAACAGTTCTTAGACATGCCATGAAACTCTTGATATCACTATGCTTACACTTGAAGACAAGCTTACCTAAAATTTAGTTGTTCTGTGTTAAGGCTGGCTCTTCTTCTGGGGTCAAGAACTGTTACATCATGGTATCTCTCTTGCCTCCAGCAATAACGTGTTGGGGTTGAAAATTGGTATTCTCTGAATTGGTAAACTCCATTTTTCCTCCTAAAAGCCCCCTCAGAAGCTTACTGAAAAGTGGAAGGATGAAACATTTCTGAAAGACAGGCTGGCAAGTTGATGCAGGTTGCTCTAAATAAGGAGCAACATGTGCCGCTTTTTCTCTTGGAGCTGCCAGTCAGAACCAGCTGGGTTGTCTGGCTGACACTGGTTTTTTGGTACAACTACTCCAAAGTCCTCACTCTTCCTGAACAACATAAATCCTAGCTGCTTTCTCATGGCTTGTAGCAATGCTTTACCAGTATTTGCTGCCTGCACTTGCAGGGAGCGTGTGTTGCTCTTGTTACTGGATGATGTTAGTACAGCATGACCCTGGGGAGACATACATGCTTGGATTTATTCACAGATGGCCTGAAATGTGCTGAATCTGTTCTCTGATGCAGACCTGGTGGCCTGGAGATTCACCTTTGTGATGCTCTTCAGCCTCACACTGTCACTGTGTGGGAGACAGAGCCTGTTCCTGCAGCAGCACAAGCTCTGCTCCATCTCCATGGCTGTTGGGGCTGAAATTGCAACTACCACAGAGCCCAAGTCCTACACTGTTTTGTACACAGTCTGCTGTGTAAGGGGTGTTGATCTGGACAGCACATGTCCAACTGAACACAATGTGAGAAAGCCAGGTGGGTTGCTGGGCGTCCTGCATCCAGCTTGCTCAGAGAAGGATAAAGTGTCACTTGGGTGTTGTTTCCAGTCTCTCAGCTATGGTTTCACTCCTCAGATTTACTCCATGTTGCATATTCTTAATCTAGCCTCATCTAACTTTCCCAGGTCACCTTCTAAATGACCTGAAGTCATGTTTCTTTCCTGCTTTGGCAAGGTTTAGACGCCAAGGACTTCCTGTGCTGTGCCTTGCACAAAACCCCAGCTGGAATGCAGTCCCTTAGGTCATCATCCTGTGGCCCAAGAGAGTTTAGCAGCCCACATCTGAAGGTGAATGAGGCTGCTGTTAACAATAACTAATACAGCAGTGTCCTCCAGCCCAGAACTGAAAACATGAGGCTTCAGAATTCAAAGAATCCCATTACAAATGGTTTCTGCCCCAAGGATCTAACCAAAAGGATGGCACAATGCAAAGCCTTTCTCCCCTGTGACTAGCTCTGGTATGTTCTTCTATCTTAAAAACAATATATTGCTGCTTTTTCTCTTTTTTTCTTTTTTTCTTGTGTCTCTTCTGTTTGAGGGCATTAGAAATTTCACTGCTCTTTGTTCTTGTCCTGTGGTCTCTACCAGCACCACAAAGACAGCTCTATGCTACCCAACTTAGAGGAGAGAGCAGATACTTATCCCCTACACGGGCATAGCAGGAGGGTTGAGGAACCTGCTAGGAAGTAAGATGGGAAATAGCAGGAGGCAGACAGCCAAGATTCCCTGGTGTTTCTTGGGCACTGGAATGCCTTTCATACGTGTTACTTCAGTGATCCTGTGAGGAACAGGGCTGTTCCCACTGCACAGGGGCAGATGGTGAAGTTAAGCTTGATGATTTTTCTGTATCTCTCCCCAGGTCTGAGCTGGAGGCAGCTGAAGGGCAGAGTGCTGCCAAGCACTGGCAGCGATAGCTGGACCTGAGTGAAGAGTTGCCCTTGGGTTTAATGTGAGTCAAAAGCCTTTACTCACCACAAGAGAGCAAAAGGCAGCTTACAACAGGAGGTGAGTAACCATCAAGGTAGGACTTCCATGCTCTTGGGGACAAGGATTTTAGGAATGCTTTGGCAGATATTGACTTCAATACTCAAAAGAGAATTCAGAACACATAAAATCAAACCAAGGACAAGAAACCCTTTTATCACTGTGCTCCTAAAACCATTCTTACTGTGCTTGCAAAGTCTTTTTATTACAGTTATTAAAAAAAATAGTATAATCTCTTATTAAATGCAGGGACATTATGGCTTCAAAGCAACTGCGCTAATTATTTCTTTATCTTTCTCACACCCCAGCCTCTCTGATCTGAGACTTGCTAGCAATTTGATAGCCATGGCAAGACGTGGAGAGGTCTGGAAGGTTAGTTCCAGTAGCCTGTATTTCACACCAGTGTCTTCTGGCAGAAGGATAAACTACAGACAGAGCTGATTGCAAGTTCCTGTGGCCCAGGTTTCTGGCTACAAAACTGGGAAGGATAAACACCTTCTTAAGCACTGCAAGACAGAACAACAGAAAGGAATGGAAATCTGCTCATAATGCAATGGCTAGAAGCAAGCCAGCTGGTTTGTTTTATTCCCACCATGAGAACTATGGTCAGTCCCAGTGCAAGCTTGGCCACCTGTCAGATGCAGTTTGTGAACTCAGGCTGATAGGAATTTGACACGCTCTTGTCTTGGAGCATGCTGGTATGATCAATGCAAATTCCTCCTACAGCAGTGACACAATGTATATGCTACCCATGCAGTCGCAGATGCCCCTCATAAATCATTAAAATACCGGCTAGCTCTAATCAGATCCTTTGAGTTATAACGTAATACACTATTTGAGAACTAAAACCAGTAAATCAAGTTAGTACAGAGGTCAGAGTGGGACTGAACACAGCTGAAACTTGCTTGCTTATGTGTGTATAGTCTAAGAGATGCAAGGGAAGATTAAATCCCAAGTCAGCTAAGCAAATTGCTTTCTTCTTATTGTAAAATCTTGCTACTAAGTCTGTGGAGGGGAAAAAATAGAAATTCATCATATTCTGTAGCAGAGCTGATTTGAGGTCTAGAATTTCCCAGCAATTGTGTTAGCTCTTGGGATTATAGGTATTTCTGATAATTTGTCCTCCAGGTTAACTCTTACCATTTTTCTAAAACAAACTAGCAGTTAAAAATATGTCCCCAAATGTCAAAGATCACCCACTACAAAAACAGAACATATTTTCTTCCATAGCATAGCAAACAGGTAATTTCTAATAATAACTAAAAGGCAGCTGTTGTGGTTGCACTCTTCAGTGCAAGCTGGGACACAACAGGAACCTTTGTGAAGGGGAGGTTGCAGTGCCCAAGTGCTGGAAACCCGTAAGTTTGTGTGTTGGGGTGCTACTGCATAGATCCAAACAATTGATGTGTTCTTTTACGTATGGAAAAGGTTGAGGGCCATCTAAATTTTTTGAGTGTTATCTGACTCAGAGGACAGTGTGGTATGGGGCATGGCCAAGCTCCATGGCCAGCAACTAGTTTGGCCACCATGAAGGGTATCTGTCAAAGGATAATACTGAAGGGTAACTTCCCCATTTATACTATATTTGCATGTACATTTTGTTTCTTATGTTATACTTAAAAGAGACAGTAATTGTTTCTTCCCTCATGGCAAAGACAGTCTGGAGCAGAGGATCCTGCTCTGCTTAGGCTGTGTCATTCTCAGTACTGCTGAGTACTTCCTCATGTTTACTTCGTACTTTTCCCTAAAACCTCTCTCCTAAACCGGATAGAGTGTTTTTAAAGCCATACAGCAGAGTAACTTGGTATCTGAGTTATACCTATGGGGCCAGATTTCTCTAATGGTCTGCAGGGAAAGCTCTCAGAGGCCCAGCTGTGGTAGCCTCCCTTCAGTCACAAAAATCATCAGAACAGGACTTTGCTGTAATCCTATGAAAGCTTGTTATTCTGGGCACAGGCTTAGCTTTTGGGAGGTGCAAGTCATATGAACTCTTGGGGTTCATGCTGGCAACTCCTGAGCTGAAACATCTGGTGATGCAAACCACTAATGGTCATGCAAACCAGTGATCCAGAAAGTCACCATAAACCAGTGAACAAAGTCTCCATGAGTCACTGGCAGTAAATAAAAAAGGCAGTAAGTACAGGTGGGGAACAGAATGAAACTTGGCCTATTTGAAAGATGCACCAACCGTTCCAAACTGGGTGCATGTATGGAGCAAGATGGATTCATATTGTGTTTTATTTCTAATTAAACCTTAAGCAAGTCTGAATTTCTCTCAAACCTGGTGGCAAAATAGTTGAAACATAGAAGGAAAAACAATGATCAGTTTCATTAGAGGTGCAGCACAGCTTGGTGTGGGAACTTAATGAAGATTTGTTGGTCAACAACAATCTCCCAACTCACTTAACATGCTCTCCATTTAATTTGTTCTGCTATTGCAAATGTGAATCCCCAAAGTCAGACTCAGCTTTCATGGCTCTTGTAGTCTCTGCAGTGTCAGCAGGAAGCACAAACCAAAGACCTAGATCCTGTACTTGTGCAATGTATATTTCTTTTAACAAAACCCAAGCCCAGGTGACATTTTTGGGAGAGGGGAAACAGGAAATGGAGTCCCTTTGGGGGGCAGGGGCTTTTCACAACACTCAGAAACTTGGCCCACATTTCTGGTCTCCTCCCTTTCTTCTCCACAAAGGGCTTGTAGCATTTTTAGACAACTTGGATTCACTGTATGTTGTTAAGAGAACCTGCTGGGAAATTAGGTGACTCCTGCACTCTAGGGCAGAGGAAATGTGTGTTTCTGCTTTGTGTTTTTAGGAAAGTAGGAAGATGAAATTCAAAATAAAACACAACAGATGGGAATCTCACAGAGACAGACACTGGGAAATGTTTAGACAAGCTTTGTTCCCAGCTCTTGAGCTCAGAATTTAGCCACTAAGCTGCAGAGAGACTTCAGAAAGACAATGAAATGCATTTTGGCTTCAAATACAGTTCCTCCAGATTCCAATGAGAGCTGTGCATGTGAATCTGAAGGCAGAGTATAGCCAGCAGTATGGGGAATAGATGTAATATGAGAAACTCTTATGCTGTATTATTATAGTCTGAATTGTTTCCATCATTTCAGGTTAAGTAATTCCCCACTATCCATCTCTGAAGTGCAAACAGTACAGCCTTGATGTGCCCCAGGGAAAGGAAGCAAACCAGCCTTTGAATCTTTACCCAACCTTACTGCTCATATTTTGCTTTCACTGAGTAAGTGCTCAAATCCTTTAATACTTCATTCCCATAAAAATATATTTACCAGGGGTTTTTGTGGCAGCAGTGAGGCTGTGTTTATTATTTTAGGAACACCACACGACTGGCTTTAGAGAAAAGACAAGGCAGGAGCATGGAGTGCTGCAAATCTATCAGAGAACAGCATGTTTTCCACCTGTTGAGGCAGCAACCACAATAACAGATGCACATAATAATTACCTGTACCTCAAAGGCAGCACCAAGTCCTGCACCTTCTGCTCCCCACCTAGCAGACAGCTTGGTAACAGAATTACAAAAGAGGAGCATTGAGAGTATGTAGTGCTTTGTGAAGAATGAAAAAGCAGCTCTTATTTAAAAGAAACTGGAAGGTGGAAGATGAGAAGGAAAGATCTAAGGCACCATGATGCTAAAAGAAGAGTTGAGCTAAGGAACTCCAGGAGTGTATCTTTTTTTTAGAGTGGCAGTCAGGTTTCTGCTAATGCCCTTTCCAAAGCTGCTTTCATTTGTACTCTCAATGTTAGAGCTAATTTCTACTGATAAATAGGTGCCCCACACACCTACTGGAGCCCATTCCTCCCCAGAGATGGATGGTTCTGCAGAGGCCAGAAGGGCACACAGGGTAAGGGCCTCCTCTCAAGTGACACCAGGAATGACCAAGACTGTGTGCCAGTACTGTGTTCCTGTTCCTCTCTCTGCTGCCTGGCACTGGGATTGTGCTGGAGCTACATTTGCACTTTGGTTTGCAAGTCCCCCAGAGCAGCCGGTGTGAGCAGGGCAGGGGGCAGTACAGGGAGAAAGGATGTACAGCAGGCAAAATATTTTGGTCTTTCCTGCTTAGGTGCTGAGGCTTCTAGGGGTCTTTTTCTCCTCTTCCTCCGACTGCCAAAAGGAAAGTTGTGACATTTGGCTGGTGAGGAGGACTTGGCCTCTGGAGTGATTTGTACCATGGTAGTTCCTTGTTGCACAAAGGAACAGATCCTTCCTAGAAAGGATTTGTAGGGGAAATTATCTCGGGCCCCATTTAATCTTGACAGAAGAAGATGATGAGAGGACTGTGTGCTGAGTTGGAGTTTTCCTTTGAATTCCTATGGTGTTGAAGGCAGCACTATAAATAGCCATGCTATCCTTTTTACCCTGGTACAATTCAGTCTCCAGCTCCCTATACAGACAGCAAGTCTTCTGGTAGGTATTTAGAAGGAATTAATTTAACCCAGTCTTCTCCTTCTGTAGTCTTTTACTCCAATCATCACAATGACTTCCACAGCCATACAAGCATATTTCCTCAATAAAAATTTTCTGAGGAAGACTGCTGATATTAAAAATCCCATTTCTGTCTGAAAATTCGATCCTAGTTATAAATAATCCATAAATAGCCCAAACTACAAAGAGTTAGTATTAAAAAAAAAAAAAAAAAGACACCGTCCCCCCAACTTTTTACTCTTTCATTTTGTTTTTCCCAGGTTTTGTTTTTGAACTGCACAGCATTTTATTCATAGTCTGTTTCACATTTTCTCCAGTGTAACTGGCTGGACAGTCTCTCCTTTCCCAGGATCGACTTGTGAACATCAGCTGAGAGGAAGGAAACCCACATCCAGTGTTTCATGGTTATTATCTTAAAGATAGATCTGTAAGAAGTTTAAGCACAAGCCAGATTGGTATTTAAATAAAATGGGCTTGGTTTTTTATAGCATCTTTTTCAGAGAGAGATCCTCAGCCTGTAAGTGCAGCTGGAAAGCAAACTGGAATTTCACAAACATTGGAGTTGCTGCGTACGAGGGCCCAGCTCCGGGCTGGCCCTGCCGGGGTCGCTGCTGGCGGAGCTGCTCTGGGGCTCGCACTGCTCGGTGCCGGCGCTGCCCGCACCGGGGCTGGTTTGCAAACAAGATTAAAGGTACTTGCCTTACTGGTAGTCGAAGCTCCCGCGCTGCGGTGTCTTGGATTACCTTTGTTTGAATAATACCACTCACTTTGCTCCTAACGTGCCACCTGCACAGCAAATTTCTAGCCTCTCCGGGTGTTCAGTTTATTCAAAGCCTATTTTTAATTCTGTTAATTGTAACCCGTGCTCCGCTACCCTGTTTGGACCTGCAGCAGCAGCCGGGGTGAGGCAGCCGCGGGGCAGGGCTGT